GAAAAGAAAGGTGAAGATGGGTTTAAAAAATAAAAAAAGAGGATGGGTGTGTGTGCAAGATTGGGTTAAAAAATAAAAAGGAGGATGGGTGTGTGGGCAAAAGGTAGTGGATGATGGCTGCCATGGAACCTTTCAAATCGGCCATCAAAAGCCGGAGGGCCGCGCGTGCCAATGGCATCAACACCAGGCTAGACCCAAAGACCTCAGGCACTCTGACACAAATACTGCCCCAGCCATGGGCACTGCAAAATGCATCTCATACATTGCTGGAATATTTGGAGCCAACACCGATACAACATTATTCTTGAAAATGTTTAGGGATCGAAGAGAGGAGGCGAGGCGGAGATTGTGAACCGGAAGACTGACACCGTCAGAGGCGACGGCAACCGGAGTCGCAAGTTGATTGGTCGGTGCTTGTGGGAATCGCGGTTCACGGACCGAAGGAGAGAGAGGAACAGATTCGATAGATCTAGATTTGAAGCAAGGATGTTTGGAGATACTACCCAAGACATATTGTGGAGAAGGAAACTGGAGGAACAAGTTGACTTGCAGCAAGCTATTGAGCTCCAAGGTCGGAGACTGATGGGTCTGCAACTTCTTGATGTGAAAAGGCACAATCACCACCGTACCCTCTCTACGGGTGCTGCCATTCCGTCCCCGCACTCCCCAAACTTCTTCAATCAAGATAGAAGCAGTCCTGAAGTCATAGAAGAGAATGGATCCAGCCCGACAATGGCAATTGCAGCAACTGCTGCGGGTGATCAGCAATTGCAACAGAGTTCTTCAATAGTGAGAAGAGGAAGATGAAGTTACAGCGGAGTCAGGGTATGTGTAAAGGTCCGGCGGGCAGCCAAGGCGAGGCTGCCGCCCGCCGGGGAAGCAGAATGACCAGGTTCTTAACCTTGCTCTGATACCATGATAGAATTCATGTATTATTGATTGATGTGTATTGATTGATTTATCTGTATATTACAATTCCTATATATATAGAGGAGAAGATGGTAGTAGGTGTAGGTGGTAGTGGAGGTGGTAGGTGGAGTGAGTGGTAGTGGAGGTGGTAGGTGGGTGGTAGTTTACATTTTACAATTTACATTTTACATTAACACTGCCTTTTCACTAGAGCAGAGTACAACTGTTTAATGCTCTTAATTCTGTTCAGTCAATGGGGCAGCCTTGCATTATATTTTACAACAATGGTACATTTCTTAAGTTTTGAACTCTAAATCAGTTTTAGTTAGAAAATAAAAAAATTAAAAAAAAATATAAAGTCAAAATATCACGTCATATAAGACTTATACACATGTTAGAACTCTTAATTTAGATCTCTCAACTATTTCTCTATATTTTATTTGATTTTAAGGTAAATTATAATTACACCTCTTAAGATTTGTTGGGTAAATTATACTTTTGACTCTTACACTTTGCATCAAATCTCACTTTGGCCCCTACACATGAAATTATGATAGTCAACCCCTTGCACTTTTAATCAAATCTCATTTTGGTCTCTGCATATGAAATTGTGACAATCAACCCCTTATTTTTTTGGTAAAATCTTACTTTGATCTCTACACAATTATCAATGTCCATATTCTATTACTCAATTATTTAAATCTTTAACAAAATTTAGTCATATGACAAAAATATCCCTACAACATAAGAGTAAAAAAGAAAAATCATCTACATTTTTTATCAATACACACTTTATCCCAAAATTTATATCAAAATATAATTGTATCAAGCTAAAACGAATGAAGATTGTGAACAATTAAGAAGATGAATTAGGATTTTGCATAAATTGAAAACACGAAACTCTATTTTTCACGGTAATACAATCTTCGATCTATTCATTTTTCTTTCTCTTTGATTTATTTGTCACATTTTTTTTTATTTCAAAAATTCTACTTTCTTGCCTTTTATTTTTTTTTTTTTCAATTTTTACCATATGAACATATATATATATATATATTGTATTATATAACTCTCATATACTTATCACGTAAAACAAAGTGTGTTGGTTGAAAACATGGATGATTTTCCTCTCTTACCCTTATTTCGTAATTATATTTTTGTCACATGATTAGATTTTGTTAAAGATTTAAAAATGAAATAATAGAAGAGGAAAATTGACACTCGTGTAGGAACAAAGTGAAATTTGAGTAAAATTGAAAGGGATTGCCTGTCGCGATTTCATATATAGGGATTAAAGTGAGATTTGATCAAAAGTGTAAGGGTTGATTGTCAAGATTTTATATGTAAGGACCAAAATGAGATTTGGTGTAAAGTGCAGAAGTGCAAAGTATAATTTATTTAAATTTGCTTAAAATACGAATTATCTCATGTAGTTTTAAAAATTACATCCCATCTATTATTAAAAAAAGTCATTTATTTATTTATTTATTTATTTTACTTTATAAATCTTTCTAGATTATAGTCGAAGTTCGAAAAGTAAAAGCATTTGACACAAATTTATAAAATGTTACTGCAAACAAAAAAGTTCAAGAAAAAATGTGATTGTTCTAACTCTTGCCAAACAGGGTTAACTCATTGATTGAACCTATGATCAGTTTCTTTGTTTGGACATCCCAAAGTTTTATTTTGTAGAAGTTAATTGCAAATATCAGCTATTTGTTTCTTCTTCTAATATTCTTCTAAATGCTAAATTGAATTTGATAAAATTAACTGAGCAAGTTTTCTAATAGTTCTTGGATTAGTTTGCCAAATTTATAACCAAATTTTATCAAGGGAAGAGCATCGTATTTAGTTGTAATAATCATGAGAGATATCGAGATGAAATTAGGTTGAAGAATGCCAATTTTACTCTCTTTCTCTCTCTTAAAAAAAATTAAAATTAAGAAGAAATGTAACAAGATAGTAACAACAAATATGCCAATATTGTGATTTTCGCTTGAGATTGTGGTCTCTAATGATTCTACAACTTATGTCTTAAGTCTTGTGGTAATATGAAAGCTATGCCAAGGTTAAAAACTAGGTTTTTACCGAAAATGAAGTAATTTCTTAACGACCTTTCCTACGGCACATACCTGTAGTGTGATTCATTTATATTGCATGATGAATTAAGCAATCACCTTTGTATGATTCAAGAATGTATATTATAAAATCTTTCTTTGGTTTTATAGTTTAGTTTTGTAATTCTTAATGCACATTATATATGCAATATGCTTGAGATATTGGTGAAAAGCCCCCTCACATTTTGGAAATTACATTTCCCCCCTAAGGTTTAAAATTTCATTACAGATTTTCCCCTTTAGCAATTTAATTTTTTTAAATACTAATTTTGTCCTTAGTGGGTAAATTACATTACCACCCCTCACATTTTAGAAATTACAATCCTCTCCCTAAGGTTTAAAGTAGCATTACCAATTGCTCCCTTGGTTAGCATCAGTTAGAAAAAAAATTCATTGAAAAAAAATTAATTGAAAAAAAAAATTATTAGTAAAATTTTTAAATTTATGTTTAAAAACAAACATAAACTCATTTTTTGAATTTACGTTTTTTCTTCAAATTTACAAACTGAGACGTCCATTTATAAATCAAAAAAAGTATTGAACAAGTTTTTATGACACTTTTTAAAATTTTTGTAATTATAAATTAAAAACTGAAAATGATGGTAAAAATGTTGTAAAATTAACAAATAATTAAATAAGTTACCAACATAAGAAATGACTTATTAAAAGATTCTTAGGATATGTATGGTTTGATTTTTAGAAAAAAAAAATTTAAAAATTAAAAATTGTAAAATTAATAAATAATTAAATAAGTTACCAACATAAGAAATGACTTATTAAGAGATTCTTAGGCTATGTATGATTTGATTTTTAGAAAAAAAAACTAAAAATTAAAAATTAATTTAGTTAAAAAATAAAAAATAATTATCACTTTTATATAATTTTTATGTTTCGAATAGTTAAAAATATTTTTTTATAAATTTAATTGAAACAGTCACACTACAAGAAAATTGGCCTATAACAACCTTTTTGTTATGGCGCTGCTTTAAAAATCGTTGTTTAAAAGGTTTTCAAAATATTTTATAGCCAACTCATTTAAAAAAGCACCGTGCTAGGTGTACTAACATATTTCCCCTTTAAGCCCACACGTTTTTCATTCTTCCATTTCTCTCAGTCCTGACATAGATCTAGGGTTTTTTTTGTCCCCTCATCACTCCTCTTTCTTATGGTGAAAGTTCACTAGATCAAGCTCTCTATCCGGCTCCGACTCACGATCACGATCTCCATCTTGGCTCAAAGCTCCGATTCACTATCGTAATCTCTATCCGGCTCTCTCCATCTTGGCTCAAAGCTAAAACTGTCATAAAAACTTGTTTGATAATTTTTTTTGGCTCAAAGCTGTCGATCAATCCGATTTGAAGATTAATTTTGTGAGTCTCATTCTTTGATTTTTTGATTGTTTATATACGAACTCAGATCTGTATCTACGATCTTAGATCTATTTGATATATATATGTGTACACTAATTTATGTTAAAGTGAACACAGATATGTGTACACTAATTTCTGAGGTTACGATTTCAGAGGTTGCGATTTCATCGCTCAGGTATGGCAATCTCTATCACAACTGTTACTCTTTTTATATGAACATTGTTCATAGTTCTGATCATAGTTCAGAGGTTGCGATTTCATAGTTCTGAATCTTTTTATTTTCATCATTTCAGATTTCTGAGGTTACGATTTCAGAGGTTGCGATTTCATCGCTCAGGTATGGCAATCTCTATCACAACTGTTACTCTTTTTATATGAACATTGTTCATAGTTCTGATCATAGTTCAGAGGTTGCGATTTCATAGTTCTGAATCTTTTTATTTTCATCATTTCAGATTTCTGAGGTTACGATTTCAGAGGTTGCGATTTCATCGCTCAGGTATGGCAATCTCTATCACAACTGTTACTCTTTTTATATGAACATTGTTCATAGTTCTGATCATAGTTCAGAGGTTGCGATTTCATAGTTCTGAATCTTTTTATTTTCATCATTTCAGATTTCTGAGGTTACGATTTCAGAGGTTGCGATTTCATCGCTCAGGTATGGCAATCTCTATCACAACTGTTACTCTTTTTATATGAACATTGTTCATAGTGATTTTTCTTTAATTTTGTATCTGTAATCATTACTCATCCTTCAAAATGTTTGGGATTTTTGAAATCACCTGCCAATAATGTTTCTAAGCAAAATTCAGTTGATAGTTCTGATTAATTCTTGCTTCGGTTCTTGCTTTCAGATTTTTTGATTATCTGAAAATCACCAAGTCGACTATTTTTTTTTTGTGGGTTTGGTTGTAAAGTTGCAATTCATAAAGATTTGTTAGCCAACCCAAATTACACAGGATACTATGTTAAATAGGGTTTTGGACAAATAACAAGAGAGCTCATATATTTCTCAGTCTGTCTGTTATTGGTACAATTGACGTGGTGTGGACCTTGCCCTCTATTTCTTTCCATAATGACATCTTATTCTGAAGGTTGAAGAAACCACCAGCGGTAAAAATCAGTACATGTGTGCATGTAGGTGAGTATTTTAATGAAGCAACTATGCTGTTAAATAACCAGCATGACTCTGTGTGCTGCAATTGCTAATCAAAGAACAAACAAATTGTTTTCTCACTTTTGATAATGCCTTCCAGCCCTAAATCTGGATATTACAACATCTCACAGGCAGCTTCCACCAGAAAATAAAGAATCCATAATTTAATAAAATTACAGTCAATTAATATAACAATATCTTATATATTGTTGCACCTCAAGTTTTGGCCTGGGTTTGAAAGGAGAATATAGCATGCATAGCAGTGAGAAAATGCCTGCTTTAGTATGTGTTACAACTTAATAATGGGAGTTTAATTCATTGTTCAAAACAAGAATAATAGCATATTTCAGTTGATAGTTCTGATTAATTCTTGCTTCGGTTCTTGCTTTCAGATTTTCTGATTATCTGAAAATCACCAAGTCGACTATTTTTTTTCTTGAAAGGCTTGCAGAGATACCAGAAAACAGAGTTTCTGCAAAGCATTACGGTTAATTTTCAGGTTAAATTCTTTCAGGTAAAATTCTAATTGCGAACATATAAACTTCTAATACTTTGTTTTCCAAATTTTCCACATTTCGCAGTAGCTTGATTTGTAAGATTGATGATGACTGAGATTGAATCTATTGAGATTGAATCATACAAGGGTCTAATGATTGCAGTTGGCAATGCTACATCTGTTTCAATACTAATGGTAGCAATGTTTAAGTGAAAATCGTAAGCAATCACATGACCGTTAAATGGTTTATCATTCATCACATAAACACCAACCTCAACCTGCAATAATAGTAAGTCATACCCACCCAAAAAAATAATAATAAAAAACATTGAATAGTGTTGTACTATGCCAAGTATTTTATAATTTAAAAACAACAACAACAACAACAACAACCACCTTAATGTCATCTGGTATAGCATTTGCATCAATAGGTGATCTTAGGAGAGTTGCAGAAGTTAAAATGGTACTGATGAATGTTCCATTACATCCTCGCATTCTATTATAGTCCCAGAACATGCAAACATCATCTTCCCACCTAGACATTGAAATAAATAAGCAAAGTCTCTACCTCTGTGTATAGCATTTGTATAAACATGAAAGCACATGCAAGAATGAAAACTTTTATTGTCAATTAGTAGAGTGTAGTCTATTAAATATATTTTTTGAAATTGTAGAGTGTAGTCTATTAAATATATTTTTATAATTACATTTTAATCTTAAATTTAAATAGTGTTGCAATTACAATTATATTATAATCCTAACATTATTTACACCGTGTGCCTTTAGGCACGGGCATATGCTAGTTGATCTATAAGTGAGTGGATGTATACATATTACCCCTACTCTCTTTGTTGTGTCGTGTTTAGTATCTAATCTTTTATTAAATGTCTTGTTTCTCAAATAATATTGTCATTTTCTACAAGTGCATATCTTGAGTTTTAGATCACTTTTTTGTTTTATTATTAAATTATTCTAGCTTAAGAAAGTTTGAAATCATTCATGCCTTGATGATTTATTTTGGCTTCTACAAGGGTATCAATATCTTTTGTAGCTTTATACTATTTGTGTGGAGAATCAAAATAATTATGTCATTTTTGGTGGCTGTGGGGAAAGGATTGGGGCAGTTTAACAACTAGATAAATTACATTATTTTTGGTGTGATCTAAATGTAAGTTTATAAATTAATTAGTAAGTTTATTCATATGCTTCTGGCGGTTTTTAAATTAATTTGTTTTTTTATTTTTCAGGTCAGAAATTTCTTGGAGAGATGCAAAATATGGTCAAAGAATTCAAGAACTTACTTTTTTCAAGTTTTTTATTTTTTATTTTTTAATGTATGTAATCACAGTTAATTTTTTTTTATTAATTTCTTTGTATATACTTTTAAACATTTAACTTTCATTTATGAAATATATGATATTATTTCATTCAATATATGGTTGTGATTCAAAATATAGTATATAGTGTGTATTACATTATTCAAATGCGCGTGCAAAAATAATATTGATTATTCTTTAAATATGTCAAAATTTGTTTTTTATCACAGGTTTTATTAGTTATTAATCACACTTAAAAAGTGTGATCTAAAGTTTTTAATCACACTTAAAAGGTGTGATCTAAAGTTTTTAATCACACTTAAAAGGCGTGATCTAAATGTTTTTAACCACACTTAAAAGGTGTGATCTAAATATTTTTAATCACACTTAAAAGGTATGAACTAAAGTTTTTAATCACACTTAAAAGGCGTGATCTAAATGTTTTTAACCACACTTAAAAGGTGTGATCTAAATATTTTTAATCACACTTAAAAGGTATGAACTAAAGTTTTTAATCACACTTAAAAGGCGTGATCTAAATGTTTTTAACCACACTTAAAAGGTGTGATCTAAATATTTTTAATCACACTTAAAAGGTATGAACTAAAGTTTTTAATCACACTTAAAAGGTGTGATCTAAAGTTTTTAATCACACTTAAAAGGCGTGATCTAAATGTTTTTAACCACACTTAAAAGGTGTGATCTAAATATTTTTAATCACACTTAAAAGGTATGAACTAAAGTTTTTAATCACACTTAAAAGGCGTGATCTAAATGTTTTTAACCACACTTAAAAGGTGTGATCTAAATATTTTTAATCACACTTAAAAGGTATGAACTAAAGTTTTTAATCACACTTAAAAGGCGTGATCTAAATGTTTTTAACCACACTTAAAAGGTGTGATCTAAATATTTTTAATCACACTTAAAAGGTATGAACTAAAGTTTTTAATCACACTTAAAAGGTGTGATCTAAAGTTTTTAATCACACTTAAAAGGCGTGATCTAAATGTTTTTAACCACACTTAAAAGGTGTGATCTAAATATTTTTAATCACACTTAAAAGGTATGAACTAAAGTTTTTAATCACACTTAAAAGGCGTGATCTAAATGTTTTTAACCACACTTAAAAGGTGTGATCTAAATATTTTTAATCACACTTAAAAGGTGTGATCTAAAGTTTTTAATCACACTTAAAAGGCGTGATCTAAATGTTTTTAACCACACTTAAAAAATGTGATCTAAATGTTTTTAATCACACTTAAAAGGCGGCCGCAGCTCTACACATTGGGCAGGTTCAGGTTGAATTTGTCAGCTCTACTTTTTATGATCATACTGACTATAGCAGCCATGAACCTGACTTTAGCTTTTAAAGTAAACCATATAAAATCTTGTGCTCTGATGTATATATATATGATGGAAAATGTCTCGTAGTTCAAATTTTGTGGCTTAAAAATGACTTAAATGGCCAAAACGATATCGTTTTGACCATTTTTATGTTGTTCTGTACTCAAAACGACGTCGTTTTGGCCATTTGAGCCACTTTTGAGCCACAAAATTTGAGTTACATAGCATTATCGATGTATGATTTACGATTCTTATTTTATTTATTTTTTAATTTTTTATCTCACTAATCCTTTCCATGCCAATCCAAGCTGAGAAAAACAAAATTAAACATTACAATCAAATTTCAAAAAGCTGGGAAAAAATCAGTAATCTTTACAAACTATAGGGTGCTATTTGGATTTACTTCAATTTATTTCTGTGCTGCTGCTTTTGTAAGAAATTCTGCCTTTTCACTAGAGCAGAGTACAACTGTTTAATGCTCTTAATTATGGGTACTCTGTTCAGTCAATGGGGCAGCCTTGCAGTATATTTTAGATCAATGGTACATTTCTTAAATTTTCAACTCTAAACCAGTTTTAGTTAGAAAATAAAAAAAAAATTTAAAAAATATAAAATCAAAATATCACATCATGTAAGACTACACACACATTAAAACTCTTAGTTTAGATCTCTCAACCATTTCTCTATATTTTATTTGATTTTAGGGTAAATTATAATTACACCTCTTGAGATTTGTTGGGTAAATTATACTTTTGATTCTTACACTTTGCATCAAAATCTCACTTTGACTCCTACAATTGAAATTATGACAGCCAACCCCTTACACTTTTAATCAAATCTCATTTTGGTCTCTGCATATAAAATTGTGACAATCAACCCCTTATTTTTTTGGTAAAATCTTGTTTTGATCTCTACACAATTATCAATGTCCATATTCTATTACTCAATTATTTAAATCTTTAACAAAATCTAGTCATATGACAAAAATATCACTACAACATGAGAGTAAAAAAGAAAAATCATCTACATTTTTCATCAATACACACTTTATCCCAAAATTTATATCAAAATATGATTGCATTAGGCTAAAACGAATGAAGATTGTGAACAATTAAGAAGATGAATTAGGATTTTGCATAAATTGAAATCACGAAACTCTATTTTTCACGGTAACACAGTCTTCGATCTATCCATTTTTCTTTCTCTTTGATTTATTTGTCACATTTTTTTTTTATTTCAAAAATTCTACTTTCTTGCCTTTTTTTTTTTTTCCAATTTTTTCCAATTTTTACCATATGAACATATATATATATATATATATATTGTATTATATAACTCTCATATACTTATCACGTAAAACAAAGTGTGTTGGTTGAAAACATGATTTTCTCTTTTACTCTTATTTCGTAGTCATATTTTTGTCACATGATTGGATTTTGTTAAAGATTTAAAAATGAAATAATAGAAGAGGGGAATTGACACTCGTCTAGGAACAAAGTGAAATTTGAGTAAAATTGTAAGGGATTGCTTGTCGTGATTTCATATATAGGGATTAAAGTGAGATTTGATCAAAAAGTGTAAGAGTTGATTGTCAAGATTTCATGTGTAAGGACCAAAATCAGATTTGGTGTAAAGTGTAGAAGTGCAAAGTGTAATTTATTTAAATTTACTTAAAATACGAATTATCTCATATAATTTTAAAAATTACATCCCATCTAATCTTAAAAAAAGTCATTTATTTATTTATTTATTTTACTTTATAAATCTTTCTAGATTATAGTCGAAGTTGAAAAGTAAAAGCCATTGACACAAATTTATAAAATGTTACAAACAAAAAAGTTCAAGAAAAAATGTGATTGTTCTAACTCTTGCCAAACAGGGTTAACTCATTGATTGAACCTATGATCAGTTTCTTTGTTTGGACATCCCAAAGTTCTATTTTGTAGAAGTTAATTGCAAATATCAGCTATTTGTTTCTTCTTCTAATATTCTTCTAAATGCTAAATTGAATTTGATAAAATTAACTGAGCAAGTTTTCTAATAGTTCTTGGATTAGTTTGCCAAATTTATAACCAAATTTTATCAAGGGAAGAGCATCGTATTTAGTTGTAATAATCATGAGAGATATCGAGATGAAATTAGGTTGAAGAATGCCAGTTTTACTCTCTTTCTCTCTCTTAAAAAAAATTAAAATTAAGAAGAAATGTAACAAGATAGTAACAACAAATATGCCAATATTGTGATTTTCGCTTGAGATTGTGGTCTCTAATGATTCTACAACTTATGTCTTAAGTCTTGTGGTAATATGAAAGCTATGCCAAGGTCAAAAACTAGGTTTTTACCGAAAATGAAGTAATTTCTTAACTACCTTTCCTACGGCACATACCTGTAGTGTGATTCATTTATATTGCATGATGAATTAAGCAATCACCTTTGTATGATTCAAGAATGTATATTATAAAATCTTTCTTTGGTTTTATAGTTTAGTTTTGTAATTCTTAATGCACATTATATATGCAATATGCTTGAGATATTGGTGAAAAGCAAAATAAATACTATTATTTACATTTTGTAGATAAAAATTTCAGGTAATTTTTTTTTAAATTTCTACGGCACATACCTGTAGTGTGATTCATTTATATTGCATGATGAATTAAGCAATCACCTTTGTATGATTCAAGAATGTATATTATAAAATCTTTCTTTGGTTTTATAGTTTAGTTTTGTAATTCTTAATGCACATTATATATGCAATATGCTTGAGATACTGGTGAAAACCAAAATAAATACTATTATTTACATTTTGTAGATAAAAATTTCAGGTAATTTTTTTTAAAATTTTAATTATGTGTTTATTTGAATTTTGTGTCAAACACCTATAATTTAAGTGCTAACTTTTAATTTATTGGTAATTAAATACTTTTACCCATCATAAAACTATCAACATTCATTTAAATAATATATTATAACATGTCAACGGTTATATTGATTTAAACGAAAATATATATATATATATATATTTTTTATTATTTTTATATGACATGTATGTAAATGTTGTCAAAATTTTATACAAAAATTAACTTTTTTTATAATTATATATTTATTTTTTTAAATCCAGCTCCAGATGTACATGTCAATCAATCTCAAACATTTTTCATTTGGTTTTGATATCAAAAGTTTTCCATCGCTACATACTGGTGATTTCGATTTGGATGTGATTGCAATACAGAAATCAGAATTCATGCTTGTTCACATGTGATATATCCATTACCGCAACAGATCAAACACAGAACTTTAAGGGTCATATTTGTCAGTTCCACAAAGTCACCTTCGGCCGGGTACGGATAACTTGTCGCTCAACTGGTTTGCAAAGATAGGAAACTTCTGGGAGCATGAATTTCATGCTCGAGCCAACTATTTGTCGCTCGAGTGGAAGTTCAAAAATAAAGGTGGCCGCTCGAGCGCAGGGCGTAGGATTTGTCGCTCGAGCAGTGAGGTCAAATTCTGAAATTTTCAAATTTACCTCCAAACTTCAAAATCATCTTTAACCTTTGAAAACACATCATTTGGACCCAAAACTTGAGAAAACAAGTCTAAACTTGAAAAACATAAAGAATCAATGATCATTTCATGAAATCAAGGCCCATAA